AAATTAAATTTTTTGAAAAAAGTGATAATCTCCCCATCGTTTGACATCCCTACATTGGAATAATGCAAAGCAATACCAATGATTCATTATGGTATTTTCAAAGTAAGTGATATTATGTTAAAATAATAATTAACACTACTGCTCCTCTTCTACTACAATTATGCAGGGAACAGATTTATGTTTTTGTTACTGCTGTTTCTTCTGACTAAGAGATATTTCATACCATATGCTAGTCTTACTTTTAACATTTATTTAATGTTAATTACAGTATCAGGAAATATGATCATATTCTTCATTAGTGTGTGTGCCCTTGACTATTTTTAAAAATAATTAATATTTTTTTAAATTTTAAAATAAAGCCACTATTTTAAAATGATAAAATTACAGTTTAAGTTTAGGTGATTATTCTTTAGTATTGGTATGCCAAAACAAAGAATGAAGAATTCAGTCAATTCTTACCAGTAATGAAGGAGTGTTGATATCTATATGCTCAAAGACTGTAAATTCCTTCTTTAATTTTACTGGTAGAAGCCAAGGCCTGTGCAATTCGGCTTTCACCCAATAGCGCACACTGCCATGTCGGCCTTCGAATGAGGTAGCAAGTGGTCTGTGTAGAATATAAAGGTCAATATATTAATATTATACCTCTTTCTAATAATTACACAGATTATCATAGAAGTGTTAATATATTGTACTGTTTATATATCAGTGAAATATCAAACATGATTTTTAAAAATTTCCAAAGGGATAAGTCATTGGGGAAAAATCTTGTTTCCAAATAGAACAAATAGCTGGTAAACATTATAGAAATTTTGCTTAAAGAAACAAGAAGTATACAATCTCTTTAAATAAAGAAGCTACTTTTAATGTTGGTGGCAAAATTATGAAAAACTGGAAGTGAATAATTCTTGAAAAGGTCAAGAACTTAATTTAAAAATAAAGTTAAGAATGGTTTATTTCTATTGAGAAATTAGACACTGGTTAAATATTCAGACCAAATTCCCTACAGTGCTCCACTATTGATTTGCCGGGAATTAGTATCTCTTTTTATAGCAACTAATTAAGAAGGTCTAGAAAAGGCCTACAACAGTCATTATAGTTTCAAAAACTTCACATTTCATAAAGTCCACTGAAATACTAAAAAAGTTTTATATTTCCCAGTGTCCTCATGTTTCCTTTTTGGCTGTTTTCAAACTTTACTATAGGCTTAAAGAAAAAGAAACATTTCTACTGACCTGTATCAAGGGAATCAGAACTTGCAATTTTGCCAGTTTCATTACTTGTGAAAGATTTTATTTTAGTGAGTTTAGTCTCTTTCTCATAATTTCATTAGAAAAATGCCTGGTTTTCAGTTATTTACAAGGCAGAGTGCTAACTTAGATTAGAATGAGTAGTTGGATAGGAAATTTATGTCTAATCAAGAATTTGCAAAAACAGATTGTGAATATCCTATAATCAATGAATAAAGTGCTTGTCATATTGACTATCTATTTGAGAGTCTTGCATTAATTTGCATAGCACAGAGAAATAAAATGCAATATTTTGCTAGTCTTTTAGAGTTTATTTTAAACGAGTGCTTTACAGATAAGATATAAAATTATGTACATTTGGCACTTGATAAATTTTTTTTGTAAGTTTATCCTCCAAAACAATGATCACAAGTCCCACTTTGCCTGTCAGGATAATCTGTTAAAGGCATTATTTCAAAAACATTGAATAATCTCTCCTAACAATCTTTTACTACATTAAGATTATGCCCCTTTTCCATCTCCCTTTCCTGTTAGATCCCAATCCTTATGTGAAGGTATCTCTGAAGGATGCTTCCTTTTAAGTCCAAGTCATCATGTCTCCTGGTGACCTTCTCAATCGCTCTTTGCACAGAAGCTACTGAGCTCAGATCCAAAGCACAAAGCACCTCGCTCCTGGAGTCGGGACGCGCCCAACGCGCTGATGGGCTCAGCTCACCGCTGCTGGTTGGCATCAGCAGAAGAGGAGGAAGACCGCGTGTTTATAAGTGACTGTGACTTGGTATGTCTTACCTTTTCTGCTAATAACTGATGGTCAACTAGGCATACAGGGCGTAACTATTTGACTAGCACCTTCAACTCACTCATATAAATAAATGAACTCTTATTCAGGTTTTAAAAACCTCATCAATCGTGAGGCAGAGTACTAAGAATTAAGCTTTGCTTTCTATAATTTTGCCACACTACATTATAAAATAGCTTTTTTTTAGCACATTGTTTTCCTCTCGCAAGATTCGGTCATGAAAAGGGTTTTTTTTTTAACTAAAAACATTTAAACTTAGAATAATTTTAAGTTTAAAAGGATGGATGTCTATGAAAAGCGCCTGTTCCTTCTCATACTTACGTCTGTGGAAGCTCGAAGCTGAACGCGTATTCATGCCGCCCCGAAGGGATGGTGTGGAAGCCGTCCTCGCAGTTGTCGTCGTCTGCGGAGAGAAACACAACACACGCCGTCAGGGACCGGCACACGCGGGCGGCGCGTGGGGTCTGCGCGCTAATTCCTACTTCATCACTTCTCCCGCCTCATCTGCGGAATGGGGGCATCACCCCGACCCCCACGGGCACCCTCCGGCGGGGAACCCCGAGACTCAGCCGCCTCATCTGTGAAATGGGGGCATCACCCCGACCCCCACGGGCACCCTCCGGCGGGGAACCCCGAGACTCAGCCGCCTCATCTGTGAAATGGGGGCATCACCCCGACCCCCACGGGCACCCTCCGGCGGGGAACCCCGAGACTCAGCCGCCTCATCTGTGAAATGGGGGCATCACCCCGACCCCCACGGGCACCCTCCGGCGGGGAACCCCGAGACTCAGCCGCCTCATCTGTGAAATGGGGGCATCACCCCGACCCCCACGGGC